CCAAAAATCAGGTACGTGCGTTGTGAAATTAAATATATCTAAGCAGAAATGCGGAAGATCTGGTTCTCATTATAAATCTGATTTCGTGACCTTTCTAAGGAAAAGGAAAATTTCTTCGTCAAGCCTAATTTTTCCGAAATGTTTTTGATGAAATTTAGATGAAATTAGACTTAGCACTGTTATCAATTAAATTTAATACTAGTCTGTACTACACATTTGAATTGATTATTCTTTATTTTACATTTTAAGAATAAAATTAACCTACACATGAATTACATCAGGTATTAGGACCGCCAATATACAAAGAATTACGAGTGAAGCGTTTACTTCACTAATTCTCGTAATATCAGTATCAATGAATTGTACATGTGGAATGATCTATTTCACCACTAAGATAAATCAATAATTGAATAATATAATTAGCTAGTTGATTATATCTGGGTCTATATCATAACGTGGCCTTTATAAACTAAGAAAAACTAAATTGTAACTAAAATATATACTGTTTAAAATCTCAATTATTTAAAATATTTTTTGAAGCTTTCCACTTCAGGCTTCAAACTGATAAGTGTTCAGCTCTTATCATGTGCTATATCGGGTGCCTGCTCTACGAGCGAATCTGTCATCTGCGATATTCTTTGCGCATTAAGGAGAATTTCATCTGATAGTTCTGTTCTTCTTGAACTTATTTCAAGTTCGTTCATCTGGCCTATAAAGGAGATCTCAACGAACCCGTAGTTCAATTGACTGGTGTCAGGAGAGGAGACTCGTTGAATAGGCGGCAATTTCTTCAGTGGCAATGACTTTTACAGTCTCTAATTGTTTTCGAGTTTCTTTTCAATAACACTTCTCTCAAGGTCATCGAGTATATAGTATCTTTCATCATTTTACTTACTATTTCCTTCACTTTTATTTTCATCTCGAAAATAATAGTAGCAGGCATTGTGGCATTTCTCTTCAACGGAGTTCTTTATATCTATTTTCATTTCATCGGCGTTTACTTCAGATCGTGGAAACATGGATCATAAATAACTTTATTTCCGCTATTTTATCGATCTGATACTTTTTAACCTTATTTTCACACACATTAATATTCCGAAACGAAGAATAAAGGCTGTTAAAAGATTTCATGTTTCTTTAGAGTATAGTTTAAAAAAAAAAAAAAAAAAAAAACGAGAGTAAAAATCTTAGGAAACAAGAAAGGAGGGGGAGGAAATGTCTTCGTTTACGACGCATAGAAAGACTGAAAAATAAAATGCGATATATAAGCTATTTTCTTTATTTGGCTGATTACTTTTATCTTTATTATATGCATTTACACATCATGTAGTGCAACTTCTCTGTTCATGATATATGTGAATAACTTATGTGATATGAAAGTACAAATAATCATATAAATAAGGAAAGTTAAGAGAATTTTTTAACTGCGGCATATTTCTATAGCGGCATATACATAAAAACTTGTCTTACAGAGTTTCTCAGAAGTGTTTCTATCTTACGAATATTCTTCATTTTGAACCCTTTTGCATTTATTGCAGTCAATTTTTCTTTGCAGTCAATTTTTCTAGAACTTTGCTTTAATAAGATAATCGAGTTAAATTTAAAGAGGCTTCGAGACGACAGATGTTACTTTAAATTAGCTTAAGAACATTTTTAAGAGTTCGGGAAGCAATTAGGATATTTCGGTGAAATACGTACAGTTTTGAGCCTAAGACTGTTCAAAGAAAAGTTTTCTAAAAATGGTGATAAACATTTTGATTAAGTCAATCCGAGTGTTTAAGGAAAATCTGAATCTAATTCACAAACTTTTGTAAAAAGTATAGTTGCATAAGAGATAAAGCTTGTTCAAGGAAATGTCTTCTAAAAATGGTGATAAACATTTTAAGACAATCCGAGTGTTTAAGGAAAATTCGAATCTAGTTCATAAACTTCAGTAAAACGTATAGTTGCATAAGCAAATTTCTGTATAATTGATACGCATTTGAGTAATCTGCAGCAAAGTGGTTAGTCACAGTATTTGCTTTTCTATAGATTACTCACTTATATATTTCTAGAAAAGGCATGTACAAAGGATGGCAAGTGCAATCGCGTCAAAGATTGAGAAGCTGTCATTCAAAAGACTTAATAAATTTGCCCAAAAGATTTTATTCCTAATGTTAACTTTAAAAACTCAAACGCTGGCACACACGTATAAGAAAAAGAAAATTTTGCTTTTTTAAAATTTACCTAATAGTAGAATTTAAAAGAAAATTAAAAGCAAACGAATGAGACATACACGCATAAATAAATAATAAATAAATTGAAAATGAGTGTAGATGGTAAAATAATATATAATGTACATACGAAAATGCAACTAAGCATTTCTTAAAAAATGAATCTAAGCCATAAATGGCAAGTTCATAGAAGAAAATCTTATAAAACCTCTTAGACAGAGAGATAAAACTACTCTAATATTTAAAAGCTTTCTAGTGAAATTAAAGAACCTCTACATTAGTATTTTAGAAATCAGTCGCTGAAAGAAAATTTCTTTTGGCTCCATGCCATTAATATTTGTAAAAAATTGCCATTTACAGAAAGGAAACGAAGTTATTTTACTAAAACGTATAATGACGTTCTCATATTCTTTTGTTTAACATGGAATTTACGAAATTATATGCCGTCTGAGAACTTTAATATTTTGATAGGAAAGATTTAATTTAAGAATTAGCTAATGATATATTTTTATATTATTCTTTGTTCTTATGTAAACTGCATTATATTATTACTTAACTTTCGCATTACAAACAGTTACCTTTCCGATTAAAATTAACGATAAACAGGAAAAAATATGAATTTATATTTAACATTCACTTTAAAACTGCCAATATTAATATTGGCAGTTTTAAAGTTAATGTATTGTAGAGTCATCAGGTTATTCTGATGCTGAAGACTTGAAAAATGAACAATGCCCTCGCCGGGACTAGAGCTTCTCGAATACGCGCCGAGTGTGCTACCGTTACACCACGAACGCAAGCAGAAAGAAGGGAGAATATACCTTATATTATGCTTAGTTTTATCAAGTTTTAAAACTGTGATATGAATGGGTTTAGTGTTGAAAATTAATAATTTTTTACAAGTCCTTCACATTTTATACCACATGAACAGGACTGAGTGATGGTGAGATAACCGAAAAAGTTGGATAACAAGGAGCTATCAAAGCTGGGTTATAAATTAAACATTTTATTTCAAGCTTTATTCTATGAAAGGCAATGAGATATACGGTAAATAATGTTGCTTATTTATTTATTTATTGCGCTTACAATAATAAAATTATTTCTTTGAAAATGAGGATAGGCCTGTCATAGTAAATTTGATTAAATGTGTACTGTTTTCATGAAAAGAACGGACTATAGTGAGAGATAACGAAGAAAGCGATAATATAGACTATAAAAAATTAATAAATTATATTGTAAAAAAGATAGTTAATAAATGTCTTTCTGTAGCGTAGCTCTTCTTTTAGTTGCAGCCAGGTCGAAGCAACAAGAATAGTAACCTCAATACAGCACATTAATAGTGTTATCGGTTTGCTGTTTGACATACATCAGGATAATAGTAGTAAGTCAAGAAATAGTAACAAGTTAATACATCAATTGTTTCCCGCTTATAGTTGATATACCATTTTTTTAATATGAGTCTGGTTTTCCTGGTGTAATGGACGAAATGAAATGTCGGTCAATTCGAATAATCAGAATTCTGCTAGGTATTTAAAAAAATATCCGCCATTATATTGGCTTATTTGTAAATTTAAGTCTTTTCTCTAAGAATAGGAATTATTTTTACTAATTTTTACTTACTCCGCTCCTGTTGCTGTGGCTAATCTCATTTGACTTAATCAGGACAGGCCCACAAATCTTACCGTAACAATGGGTGCAAGACTGCATCTGTCATTGGCATGAACCTTGAGCGCTATACAGGTGACAATACGATTTTGCGCAAGTATTATTATTATTTACGTTCTGCGCCATAAGGCACTACGCGGAAGGGTAGGATGCCTTCGTGGAGGACTTTCTAAGGAGAAAAAGTCTCGTATTAACACGTTACACATGGGGAAATCCACGAAAATGCCCATGCAGCCAGCCTATTCGCGGGATTCGAACCTCGGACTGAACTACCAGTGTTCAGGGCTTTACCACTCGGCCACTGGTGGGCCGATTTTGCACAATTAGGTTCTGATTTTAAAGGAGAGCACTCCTGGTCGAAGGGTCTCCGTCCTTTCCTCCCTTACCATCAAACCACTCCAAAGGACTTTCGCCACGCCGCATATTTTGAGAGCCATCATGTCGCACAGACACTAAATATTTATGAACATGCACGTCTTCTCTGGGATTCACACCAGAGTCCTCCGGTACGGCAGTCAGCTTCACTAACCACTATACCGTCTAGGCGGCTTATTTACATTGAATGGTGTTTATGAGTAGTTTACGAATATGAATTGTTTTATTTAAATTAATTTGTCGATTACACAGTTTTGGACGACTATCTAAATTTTGTTAATGTCATTTAAAAATTGTAAACGTTGCATTTTTCAGAAAATGCACATATTAATAATTGTCATATGACTACACTACCGCATAAATGATTAATACGATAGCATAACCATATGAAAATAATAATTTACCATATATATGCTTCTTATCTGTTCGCAAACCATATACATCAGTTTGGCAACTGATAAGAAGCAGTTTGTATTGATGAGATGAATCAGTTAATTTACTTAGTTCAAATGTGTCAGTTATTAAAGTTAATTTATTGATCTATTAATATGGCTTTGTTTAAATAAACAATGCATTATGAATTTTCCAGCCTGATGGCCATAAATACAAATACTATGAAACACGAAGGGGTCAATATTACAATGCATTTTTTTTAAAGTATAAGTTATTTTTCTAACTATTATTTCTCATTAGTTTTGTATTTGACTGCTGATAATAACTAAAAAGGTTTTTCTTCTCTTTCATCAGCAAATGAGTTAAGAAGATGAAAATCACAGTAACAACAACAGAGGGATGAGAAGGTTTTAACTGACAAAGAAGCTTCGTTCTTCCATGTTTCAACTTCATGAATGAGCGTTTGTCCATCATGTCGGATAAGGGAAGTCGTACGGCGATATTCTCTTTCATTGACGTCAAATATGACGCGGACATTCTTCCATACGAGACCCAGAAACAACTCTTGTCCAAAGCTTTTATGAGTGATAGTATTTTCAAAACAGGAGAGCTGTTGGAAACAATGGAAAAAAGAGGTCTAGTATTTTTTTAAAAAAATTGAAGATGATTAAAATATCCCCCTCGCAAGCCTTAGTAACTTTATTTGAAGAAAGTATTTATATTTGTCAAAGTTATACTGCTAATTGCTACACACATATCAGCGGTGAGGACTCTTTTTTACGCTCAACTTAAATCTTTTAATTTCCTCTTTACAGATATAATTGAATCAGCAGGATCATCTCTAAGACAAATAAAATGACCTTCGCAACCATTATATTGACCTTCAAGAGAGAATTCTACACATACACATGACAGTAATTTATCTCCTATTTCTCTTGTCTCCGGTCGAGTAGAACATAATATGCCCATTACAGTAAACACACTGTTCCCTTTCTATTATCTCAGCCTGACGCTAGAAACTTGTAAAATCAGTAAAAAATTTTAACTGCGATAATATTTTAGGGTCAGATTTATTTTTAAGAGCGATTCTTATTAAATAAGAGATCTCGATTGATATTTTCAGTGAAGAATTTTTTTTTAATGTGTAAAAATTAAAGTTATCGGAAACAAAGCGAAGAATAGCTGAAATCGTAATTTTTATGAAAACAAAATTAATCTTAGACTAGATTTCTGCCGAACAGTTATAGAAAGTAAATCTTAAAAAAACATTTATTCAATTTCTGACTTACACCTCTACTTTTAAAACAGTTAATTCTTTTAATTAAGAATATTAACAGATTAGATACATAATCCCTTAAGAAAGAATTTTATTTCTTCAAATATCAGAAGCACTGGAAATACTATACTTAGCAATGAAAATATTTCTTCAACTGAAACTAATGAAAAAGAAGCTTCACATTACAAATTAATCTTTCTTAATCAAAGTCAGTTTTCGTTATTTCTAAATAGATTTATAGTAGTACACTTTCTTAATTTAAAAGAAACAAAGAGAGTAGTCTAAGCAAAAAAAGCGTTGCTAACATTTTTTTTTTGGAGGAGGATACAAAAATCTTTCGTGTGAATTTTGGGTTAAAAGCTATTTGCAAAGAGCAGGATCAGTTATTAAAAAATAGCTTTGTACAGAATATATTTTTACAAAGACAGAATAACCTACTTTCTAAAGCAGTAATGATCACACAGCAAATTTTTCAGCGGAATCTGTTGTTACAACACACATTGTTCACGTGTAATGGAGTTATCAAATCTAAGCGACTCTAGAAGAAATTTTTCCGAGAAACGAATTTCTTGCAGCCCTAGTTTAAACGGGAAGGTTCCTAACCGAAACTATTTTCCTGGATGCTGTACCCCGGATGCGAATTTCCGACCTACAAATTGTTATTGCTACCGTTTTTTTTTTACCAAAAGGTTTGTAATAATTATTCCCTTATCAAATTCTGTTGCTTTGTGAGAATTTTGCCGCCGATCTGTAATCGTAGAGAAAATGTTTTTGTTAATTTTATTCGCGAAAGAATTAAATTAACAGCGATATGCAGGAATATTTCGAGATCTGATTAACGGACTTTAGAAAGAATATGAACAAACGTAGTTTCAGAAAATGAATTCTTGCCTCTCTTCTTCACATCACGTGAACGACTTTTGCATTTGAATGTCCATTGGTCTATTTTGGAAGCTACTCTCATTACTGCGATACTAATGTGCACTAAGGAAATTCGTATTCCGGGTACATACGAGGAACATTTTATAGTTCTGTCTTGTATAGATTTTCACCAAAGAACTTGTTACCGACCGATCAGAAGTCAACCGATCAGGTATCCCGAAAACGAAAATTCCCGGAAATGTTTTTTTCGACGCAGAGTTACGGGTTGTTATCAGGTCTGATAGCAATTTAAACTTAGTTAGCTACACGTTTAGTTTTTTAGGATATCTGATTAAGTGACTTAAGGTGAAAACCAGCTCTTAAGTAAAAGGCTACGGAAAGCGGAGACATTTTCGCCAGGGTCGCAAAACATCCGCCCCTACGTAGCCGGAAAATTGCTTCTAGTGGGATTGTTTCGTCCAGGAGATCAAAATATTAAACCAATGCTGGGAGAAAATCGCTTCTCTGAAATGTTTCTTCTAGCGTCTCGCTTACCTAGATGATAATCCCATTATTTTTAAGCGAAGCTTACTGATGTAATGGCTGGAAGAATAAAATTAAACGAAAATAAGAGTATTGCTTAAGTTGCATTAACTGTATTAACGAGCCTATATCTGACCATTGATGAAGTAGACTTTTATACTGCTATAATTTTGATCCCATATTCTCTTTCAATAACAGTACAGTAAACTAAATATTTGAGTCTTTTGCGAAGAAATTTTAAAGTTAGTATGTTATTATTTACCCTATTAAAGAACGTTAAGGGGAGAAAAACAGGTTCTATATGTAATATGTAAAAGTTTTTGTATGTAAAACTTTCTAATTTGGATAAATTTTAAGAACTTGGAAAAAATGTTATAATTATGGGATTCATGGCACTTTCGCTCGGTGGAAAAATAGCAAAGAGCTCAATTTTAGAAGATATAATAAATATTTTGGTAGATAAAAATTTTCCAAACTTTAGCATTTCTATGAAATAAAATTTAAAACCAATATTCATGTATTAATTTTCTGACCTAAAAGGTACTTTTTGGAGTTTGCACTGGAAACCTTGACATGCTTAATTATCTTTAGCAATACTTGTACATGATTTTCAAAAATTTTAATTAATAACTACCTACAGAAATTTTGTCTTACGAACAGGGACATATTTTCAAAATTGGAGACCCAAATTGAAATCTCTTATGAAAGCTACGCAGTAATTTTTTTATTATTTTTTCACGTAATAACAGTTACTGATAAGAATTATAAACAGTATTTCGTAAAAATTAACTTTAAGGAATAATGTCACCTCTTCATTGTTCAGTTTATTATATGAAGTTCAAAATACAATTCAAGCCACAGTCTTGTTTTCTTTCTTTCTTTCTTTTCTTTTCTTTCTTTTTTTTTTTTTTACAGATAAGTAAAAAACAGGGGGGAACTAAAAAGTACTTATTATTTTATTACAAATGTTTAACAATTAGTTAAATTAATTAATTAACATTTGCAATCATTTGATACCAAATTAATGTAATTAAATTACTTCTCAATTCACTAATAAAATACACGAAGAAAATGTAGACTTTAAAAAAATTCAGTTTTTTTTTTCACTCGAGGCGTCATTAAATGATAGCAGTTACAACTGAAAATGCAAGACAACGACTGAGTGTCTAATTCTGAAGAAAGCAAAGGAAAGCTAGAAGTAGAAAATTCTATTCCTTCATTTAATGTTATATTTTAAAAATCTAGAAATGGAAATAAAATTGCATAAAACTACACATAATTTAAACATTTATAAACAATTATCACACACCGCTATTCGTGCTCGCGTGATGAGAATAGTTAGCTCACCGAGGGTCGAATCCCAGAGCTGAATTTTATCGTTTCTCGTTCAGAAAAGCGATTTTTACATACAGTAAGGGGATTTGCAGCTCCGCCTGAAAGTGGAGGCTGGATCAAGTACTAGTATTCTCTTGCGCAAGTCAGGCCCTACGTTTGTGGGTGCTTTCCTTTCGTCTGACAAAACTAATCGCTTTTACAAGATGAGATGATTCCTCAGAAATATAATATTCGCTCCATGCCACTTTTTATTTAGAGATTTATACTCTTTTTATTATTTTATGATAGCAACATACTATTTAAAAGAATGTGTATTTCGAAGTTAAACGTAAGTTTTTTTTTACTGAATGATTTGGTAAGATGTTGAAATTTCTCTTTTGCAGCATTATATCCTATGATCCATTGCCGTTCGATATCGAAAAAGGAAATAGAAGATGTTCAGTTGTTGAAGCTGAACAGCTTGGGAGAAGAATTTGTTCTGAGACAAGGTACTTTAAATTCATTGAATAATCTGATATATTAAACTTGATACCACTTTCTTTTTCCCAAAGGAAATGTTTCGTTAACTCTATAATTTGGTTTTGTTGTTTGATGGTTCTGTGCTGCTCTCAGAAAATGCCAATAACGAAATTAAACATCTCATCCAGTGGTCTTCAAACGGGGTTCCGCGGAACCCCAAGGTTTCAGGATACTCCGCTAAGGATTCTATATGTCAAAACAAAAATTCGGAAGATCCTTCGAATACCATACGGACCACAAAATTATATATTTTGCATAGTTGGTGTTCTTTGGTAACACGAAGTGGTATCCAAACACCTAACAGACTTGGAGAGAATTATCGCTCGTCTGAAGATAATGACAGAGCCTTCAGAATGCTACAAAATAACCTTTTAAATCAGAATCTTGAACATAAAATGCACGTATTGCGCTTAACAAAGTCAGCCAACCACTTGTGGTGAGATAATTTAAAAAGTAACAGTTAGATTCAAATTAAAACTAAATCTACTAATCGAATATTACTTCATTTATTTAATGTCAAGCTGGCTCAAACTTTTCACCGGCGTAACAGTTTAAATGTCGACTATTACTATGCAAAAACTACAATTTTATCTGAAGCAGCGAAACCTAGTTATGTGGTCTCGAGAGGCAGAAACAGGCTCTGTTTTACAATCCAAAAGCCTTTAAATACTCTTAGCATAATTTGCATTCTGGTAGAGAAACGGAAAGAAAAAGTGAGAGTAAAGAGCTAAATCATAATACCTGGTTAGATCCGGGTTTCTTAAACTGTGGGTCGCGAAGCAAGGCGTCGCCAACAATTTTAGCAATTTTGATATTTCTGTAAACTTATTATAATAATTTTACAATTACAAATATTTTTACACGATGTGTCTGAAAATAGATAAAGATAAGACAATACAGACCAAGGGAAAAAAAAAAAAAAAAAAAAAAAAAAAACCGAAAACGTTTCGACGCATTCTTTTTATAATATAAACGTTCAATTTTCTTGCTTTGCAAGTGACGCTGTCATTTCGTCTGTTACTTATTTAAAATTTTCACATTGTTCTATGTCTTAAAATTAGAAATCAAAGTTAATGACCTAAAACTGCAATAGTATATTACAGCGCAAGTGAAAAAAATCGACAGTTTCACTCACGCGTGTGTCGGTTTTGCGCAATACTTATGGGGTCCCACAAAAGTTTTGTAAATATTATGGGGTCCTGGGGGTTGCGAAAAAAATCTCAGCTATAAAAAGGGGTTGCGAATGAAAAACGTTTAAGAAATCCTGGGTTAGATTAACATAATGGAACGTTACAATGTGAAATTATTAAAGATTCTCTTAGTTCCGACAGTTACTTAAGTAATATAAAACAGAAGAATGAATTTCATTAATAAAATTTTAATGAAATAGTGATTTTCTCTTCCATATAAAGTATGAGAAAAATTAATATGTTTAAATTTCTTTTTTTAAGATTTTGTTCATTTTTTTTAACATTTATTTTATTTAGTTATTTTATTATTATTATTATTATTGTTATTTTAGTTGTAAGGATTATGTTAATTTTATTAACAGTTAAATTTTAAGTTAAAGTTCCTTTCCTGTCAAATTCTCTGTCTGTATATTCTCTCCAACTACTCTCAAAGCTAAAAAAAAAGAAAGTTAGTTCCTTTCCTTAAGTTGAAAAATAAGTAAAAAGGAAAAAATGTGGTTTTCATGCGCTCCCGGATTCGACAAAATAATTTTTATGTTCCTCGAGACAACAAAGTTTGCAGCTCCTTCAAGTTAAACTTTTTGATTATAAATGCAACTTTTATTCATTGAAATACTCAAATTACAAGATTACGAATCGATTGCCCGCAGATTTATATACAAATGAATCTACGAATATTTTTCAAGGAAGATCTGGTTCTGTTGCAGATATGATACATTTAATAAAACGTTTTGCTACGTGGAATGTCTTCAATCGTTTTTGAGTAGGACAGGCTCAGATCCTCCTGCATTCGCTGCTGTGAAGATTTATTTTTGATAGCTTCTCCGTGAAACTCCTAGCTTAGTTGGCTTAGTTGACAGTCTGCAAAGACGACTAGTAGTCTTTGCAGCCTGTCAACTAAGCCAGAAATCTGTCTAACTCATGTTTTAGAAGTTCTCAAATATTCAACACAAACATATTTATTTATTTATTTATTTTATTTTACTGCAGATGCGTAACTTCTTCCCTCAGCAGTTGAGCTTTAATAAACTACCTCTAACAACACTGTTTTATGTGAAATTATAAGGCATTTTCTCCGTCATTTATTCCCGTATTTCTCCCTCGCCTTCGTGATGTAACTGGAAGCCGGTCTGTCTAACAGTCGAAAGTTCTGTAGTTCGAGTCCAGACGAGGGCACAATTTTTATGTTCCCTGAAGACTAAAATTTCTTAATGGTCATACAGAGGCGCATGAACTAAAAAAAATGGTGTGGTGGATGATAATTCGTCACCACCAGAATTTGGCGACTGGTATCTATCCACCACCCCAATAGCCCTTTAGGAGGTTTTTTTTTTTTTTTTTTTTTTTTTTTTTTTTTTTTGTAATCTATGCAAGGAAAGGGAAAATTACCTTAATAGGGCATGGGAACCCTTCTAACCTTCACACAAGCTTTGCAGCGCGCTTCCCTACTTTCAGTTGATGATCAAGTGTGCACAAGAAGGAAGAAGACAATAATTGCCATTCCCTAATAAGTAAGTTTCTAGCGCTTTGAGAGTAGTTGGAGAGAATATACAGACAGAGAATTTGACAGGAAACGAACTTTAACTTAAAATTTAACTGTTAATAAAATTAACATAATCCTTACAACTTTTTTATTTATTTATTTATTTATTTATTTTGTAAGCAAGAGAGAGGAAAAAGGAGCAACGCCTTCGCTGGGAATCGATCCACGGACCTCTGAAATACGCACCCAGAGTGCGGACCACCACATCACGAAGGCAAGCTAAGAAGGCAGGAGAAATACCCCCTTTTAAACGGCGACTGGGGCTTAGGGGACCCAATCGCCAAATCCTGGGTGTGGAGAATCATCATCTATCACCCTTTTAGTTCGGGCGCCACTGTAGAGACATTAAGCAATTTAGAAGCCGGAGACTTGAAAAATGTGCAACACCTTCGCCGGGAACCACGGTCCTCTGGAATACGCGTCAAGCGTTCAGACCACCACACCACGAAGGCACGCTAAGAAGGCGGGCAAAATATCTTGTAAAGTGAGGGAGAGAGATGGCAATTGACAAGGCCACAACTACTCACTCGTCAAATCTGCACGAACCATTTGTCTTCTATAAACTGATTAAAAGTCAAATCGCTTAAAAAAACTATTTGTTTCCTACGCATTGCCAAATTATTATTATTTTTAACATACTTTGAATTAATGAAATGTATAATCATTCTATATATTAAAGAAAAGTATAATCCAATAATCATTTTAGGATAACTCCGCTTTGAACAAACTTGGTTCCAGATAAATTAAAAAAATATCTTTCACATTATTTATGTTTTCTTGCATAATGGAATTTTTATAATTAAACTGTCGAAAATAATATTGTTTTATTTATATATTTGCAGGAATTTATGTTGAAAGTAAAAGCCATCAGTCAACTAAACGCTTGGCTGAAGCAAAGTATAAAGATGACATAGCTTACATTTTTATGGGATTTAAAAGCGTTGATCCTACTTATAGTGAAACTCTAGAGAAATCTTGGAAAGATTGGACAGGGGCACGTTTGGTCAATTCGTGTCTCAGGAAAGAGTTCTACATCAGTCGTTATTCATTTTTTCATAGGATAACACCAGCTGATCCCGAACTTTTCATGTACATTTTGCTAATTGAATGCCATAACGTCAACAGCGCCAATAAAACATATCTCTTGGATTTTGTACAGAAACTCAGAGTAGAAAGAGTATTTGGATATTTAACTGTGTATAGGATAGAAACTTTAACCTCGACTTCAGCAATCATAAAAGGTCTTCTGTCGGAACACGATGAATTTGTTAGTAAAGTTGATATTTGACAAATAATCGAACAACTACTTTTAACATAAAGTCTTCGTAGTGTGGTAGAAATAATTTGGCTTAGTAAAGTAATTTAGATAAAAGTGATAGACATTAAATTATATTAATAGTAGTCCGATAACTTAGAAAACGGTCTGTTTAGAAAATCGATTTTCATTTGGACTAACTTGTTTAAAGTTTAGAATTATATTAATTAGTTTAGATTACCTTAGCTGCTGAGTGATTTCTTACTTCTCTGAAATTCCATTTAATTACCAAATAATCAGATAGTTATGGAAAATAATTGATCATTAACAGAAATGATCTTAATCAATGTGTACATGTAATTGAGATTGTATTTTTTTCGCAAATCCTTTTTCAAAATTATTCGAACAACAAAGAACAAAAATCAATTGTTTGGAAAGATAAAGCTAAAATCTTCTCAGTTATTAACTACCATATCTTCACGTAGAATATTTCATTATAAGCAGACTAATTCTGGAGCAGACTGAGACTCTTTTCTAAGTTGCTGGACTGTAACTGTTTTATTGTAATTACATTGCAACATATCATTCTCGTCCTATTTTGGCTACAGCGAACTTTCATACTGGAATTAATTAAAGGTTGTTTATTGATTTATTGGAAAAATTATTAAGGCATTTAATTGCTTTTCTATAGAAAATCAAAAAGCAATACAGAAGGTCATCTAAAAACGAATGGATTTGGATATTCAAAAATAAGCTGAATTTCTAACTTATGCACACTTACTGCTGTACAGCCGGAAAGAGAATATAAAGTATGATATGAAATGTTCTTTGAGTATTAAGCTAAGATATACATTTGCTGTACATTTTTCCTTGGTAAGCTATGTAAGGAACTATATCGAAACACAGTACTTTTTCGTAGCTTTTTCGAATTTGTTTCAATTTATAACCGGCTTAGTTTTGTACATTAGTCCTAATGCTTAGTTTATTCATGTAATATTAACTGTTACTTAAAATTCATATACATTAACGCAGTTCAGTTATTCGAAAACTACTAGAGTTATAGAGATACTAGAGATAAACAGATTAATCTTTCTCTATCCGGCGCTTTCAAAGGAAGAAAAAAGCTAGTTAAAAACTTGTTTATTTTGTCTTCCTTAATTATTTTGTAAGCATAAAATTTGTTTAATTTACTAGTGGAATCAAGAATTATAAAAGTTAAATGCTGCCTTATATCATGTATGACCAAAATGACAAGTCTTGATAAGAAGGAAATAAAAGAAAATGTCTGCTAGTAAGGAAGAGATGACACAGAGAAGAAAATGCACGGCCTAATAGCATATATATATATATACATGTGTGTGTTTGTATTAGTATATATGTATGTATATACTAATACATACAGTATTATTATATGTGTATTAGTATAATCTATTACAAGTAATGATGTAAAATTACTTGATGACGTAGAAACGTAGAAAGATAGAACGTATAATGTTGCATCCGTAAAGGAAAGCAAACTTGGCACTCGAGGCAGATTAAGTATTCATCTTTATTTCAGTTGTAGTTAAACACTTTGTGGCCACAGTTCACTAGGCACATTAATCTTGCCTGTTTCAGAGTAGTTACATTTTAGATACTATTGCGACAGGAAGACAAGCAGTACGCCAGCGTTTTAGTGCTAAGAGGAGTAGAAGTTGAAAACTTGAAGCTCACCAAGAAAAAGATCTCAGTTCTCGAAATTTTTAGTTCAGGTTCCGAATTAACTACGTGATGAGCGTTATGCAAGCCAAGTGAGATAGAATGATCTAGAAATGGTGGAATCCATAAAAATTGCTGTTTTTAGAATAAAGATGGGGGAACTAATAATAATAACTGAGATTAATAAATTTTCTTTTATGAACAGTTATTAACTACTGAAGGTATAGTTTTCAGTTGTGACGAGGAGATAGAGGAAATGTCGCCTAAGTATTATAAAGCCAAAAATTCTTTATATATTACATCTACCATGAAACAGTGGAATATTTCCCATATGGATAAATTTAATTTCATACGGATGGTCAAGTTACTAAATAGTAATAACTTCCTGCTTAATGTAAGTTATTTCAATACACTAAAATTTCCAATTTAGTTAAAGAATATAATTTGATTAAAAAAAGGTCGATTTTACGTTTTAAAAAATGTAATGCGATTACTTCTGCTTATTTAAGATTTTATGAAGAGTGGTTTGTGTAAGATATACCACTAAAGCAGAGATTTTTAAGCAGTCTTTTTAATTTTTTTTCTTCCCCATTTCATATATCGGAGTGATTCCTTTTCATTTGAAATTATCTCTATTTTAAGACATAATTTTATTTATTTTAACGTTTATGCAATGACGAGCTTTTCTTACATCTGTTATAAAAAACTGGAAGTTTATCACAGGAAAAGCGAAACGTAACACTTTTAAACCACATTTTTACCAAAACTTGTATCTGCACTTACCATTATCTGTTTACAAAAGAGACAATCCATTCTTTTTTATGCACTTTCAAGAATTTCAGCTGTTTGAAAGAGACACTTACTCTGTGACCTTATATGAGATATGAAAAAAATAACAGCTTCTATTCACAAACCGATAAATAACTGCTTGTTCAGAGATATACGTTTATCAACAATTCTAAGTTATCGAGTTTCTTCAGAACTAAAATAGGTAATTAGAAGACTGGTCATCGCATTGAAAGAGGAAAAAGTCATCGCAATTTGCTGGCCTGTTTTTTTCCCCTTAATTCTATTCACGAGACATATGACATTAGATTCTTCTGACCAATGAAGCCAAAAATGAACAAAGGAAAATTGTATTTATATTTTCTTGATTATTTAAACAAAAGTATCCTTAATGTACCGATTCTATCGTTGTAAAAAAAAGAATTACAGCAAGGACTATGCTGCAGCTGCTGCTGATTAACCCCAAAATTTCGGATATATTGCATGCATGTGAATTTTTGATAAAAATACGCATCTTGAATCATTTCCCAAATTTTTTGCAATTTTTGCATTTGCAAATTTTTCCAGGACCGATTTACTTAAGGCCAGTCGGGAGACTTGTCCCAGGGCCTCTACTTTTGGAAAAGTTTTCAAATTTAAAATGCATAACATTATATATATATTTTTCACTTCTAAAGTCGGTACTGCTCTGTTATCAGGACAGAATTCAGAAATTTATGTATGTATGTATGTGATCATGTATGCATTTATGTAGGTATGCATTTATGTACGTACGAATGTATGTCTGTGTATACATATACACATAAATGCTCACGCATACATACACATGCGCATACATACATTACATTTCTGAATCCGATTCCGGTAACAGTACCCTAAATTCTATAAAATTAAAAACATAGGAAAATTTTTAAGAATTTTTAAGGGTCTCGTATCTACTATATGTATGTGTGTGTGTGTATGTATGAATTAGGTAGAAAGATCTTCTGTGCTTCTTTGGCCTGAATAAATAAGCCTAAATAATAAAGGTAATCAATAAGCTTATCTTTCCAAAAACTAAGATCATGCATACAGTTTTATATTTTAAACAACACGTAATAAATTGAAATCATGAAACTAAAATATAACAAAGAAAAATTATTTTCTGTTTTGTTTAAATGCTTTGAAAGGGTAAAATATTGAATACTTAATTATTTCACGAATTATGCAATTCGCGTCAGTGATATATAGGATTGCCATACTTCCCATATTACTCTTTGTCTCGTTTTCTCCCTAAACTCCCCATAAAAAAGCGGCGCGCGGCGATACAAAGTATACTTACAGATAGAAAATATATTGATCAGAAGTCATGTCTAATAAAGCTATAGGAATACGTGTTTGCTATTCCAACCCACAGTGCAAACGTGGAGAGAATATTTGTTCATTCGACTGGGTGCATAAGCTGCTACGATGTATGGGTATCTCATATTCTAATAGAGCAGAATATAAAAAGGCAAATCGACAACTTTGTAGCGCCAGATACAAAGTTGTCGATTTGCCTGTTTCATTTTCCAGGTTGGCGTGTTTCTCTTACATCTTGAGAGCAGAATATGTTTACTCGAGATTCGGCATCTGATTCTTTGCTGGTAAAAATAAAGCTCGTTTTTTTAAACGGTTCATTATTGGAGAAGAAAAGTGAATATTATACAATAATGTTATAAGTAAAAAATCATGGGATAAGCACATATACACCACACACACACATAAAAAAGAAAACGAACGAGACCTTCTTTGGTAAGGAGAGGGGACTGCATCCGAAAAATTAATGCTCTGTGAATAGTGGGACAACAAAGGAACTGAATATGAATTTTTAGACTATGAAAGACAATGAATTTTTGCCACCAAATCAGGCAAAAAATTCGGAAAAATACTATATCCCAAATAGCAAAAATCGAAGCAAAGCGCCAAACCGATCTTTCAGGTGATGGCTTTCGTCATGACAATGTTCGATCGCACATTTCGATGAATGTCAGACAAAAACTTACTGACTATAGCTAAGCTATTTTATTGCCTTCCCCCATATTCACTAGACCGTGCTTTCTCGGATTTTCATCTCTTTAGGTCACTTTAAAATTCTTTGAATGGTCTCTAATTCACGTTTTTGGAGAATGGCAAATAGCACGTCGATAACGTCTTTATGAATAAATCTAATGACATTTAAAAAAGAAAGGAATTTTATAGCTGACAGAGAGATGGCAAAATGTCATAAAATAAATTGGTTTTTATATGATCCAATGATCGTTTCTTATGTTTTTGTACTGCTTCATTTTTATTTACAATCAAAAAACTGCAGAACTTCCCGAATGACCCAATATTTTTCATAATGCCAACTCAATGGCTGGAAGAAAGAATGGAGGCAACTGAAGCAATTTTGATTTGCCATTATAATTTTAAAAATGACTTGTCCCTAGTTTTAGAAGAAAACAAAAATCATATAGTAACTAAGAAATTAAAATCAACTTTAAAACACGACTGGGCTAAAAAAAGTCAAAGTATTAGTCTTTTCAGAAGCAAGGGTGCCTTGCATCTTTTTTATTATTCTACGAGTTTATTTTATTAGATTGTTAAAAAAATCGATAAAGTTTAAGCAAGGGTAAAATAAACCACTTCCGGCATATTTTCGCTCATCCGGCATATTTTCGCTCATCTTCTCAATTTAAAGACTGAACAATATCTACGAATGGCTAACCTGGAAAGCAAAGACGTTTTTAAAAGCGTACACCAAAAGTCTCCAAACATTTTAGGCCACATTGGTTCTTTCATGAAGCTTCGAGGGCCAAGAGCCAGTTCATTCATCATACCACGACGATACAATTTTGATGAACAGGATACACGTTTTCTTAAACGAGGCACTGAGATCTTTATGATTGGATCTATACGATAAGATCTTACGAAGAGCCTTGTTTTTTAGACTTTCATGAATTCACCTAACATAAGTTTCTTAAAGCCGTTTTTAAACATTTTCAAAAATATATTTTTGTCCCAGAATATTAGAGATTTCTTCCGTTTAGTATGTACTTTACTTTTTAATATATTTACTTCCCCGTTGTTATAATTTATCAACGCATTTTGTTTACATTTTGATCAGGTGGAAACTTTCTCTCATAATTATTTTATATTTTGGG